CCCCCCGGGTCACGTGGTTCTCACCAGCCGGGAATCGATCGGCTTCTTCATCCCCTGACCTCTCGACGTTCCAACCTCACCCCAACTATTCCACGCGACCCCCTGCGAATTTTCACCAACCCTCCGCTTCGAAGATACTCGACTTTCGACTGTTAACCCCTCTGGAGTCTTCGACGTCACCTGCAAGCTCATCGAGGTCCTTTCAAAAAAAAAAGTTATCCAAGGAGAAACCCCTCGAGAATTTCAACCCCTATTCTCGACACTTGTCGCCGCTGTCGTGATCCACGAAAAAAAAGGCCGCGCAAGAACATTCAAAAAAGAAACTACGAATTCTACCATTCGCCACCACGTGTCTCACCCTCATTTCTTAACCCGTCAAAAATTCTATATCCCACATATTTTTACAGCAACCGCGAACTTCAAAATTATTCGCAAATAATTATTTTCAAATTGAACTCTCTCGAAAACAATAAATATTATTATCCCTGTCAATCGATAAAACGATACGACACGTGGAACAGGCTTTTGGGCCGATCGATTTGCAATCACGAAATCGACCAAGTTCCACGCAGTCATAAGAAATATATTGGGCCAGTTCTTCAATCGGGGCTGCAACTACCCCTATATTTATATTCATTTAATAAAACCTCATCCCCTTCAATATTTTATATTACAAGGTGCTACAGGCTCTTCGAATTAATTATCCCCCAAAAATTCTGAATTTAACAAAAATTTACATATTCAAGTATAAATAACAAAACGGATCCTATCGAGGATCGGGAGTGTTTCAAGTTCCAATCGTTCTACCTGGGAGCAGCAGAGTCAAGAGAACCAGCTAGAAGGGTCACTTCAGTTTTTACTCAATTTAAAAAAAAAAATTACATATCCAAGTATAAATAACAAAACGGATCCTATCGAGGATCGGGAGTGTTTCAAGTTCGAATTGTTCTACCTGGGAGCAGCAGAGCCAAGGGAACCAGCTAGAAGGGTCGCTTCACTCTATGTCAAATTGATCGGAAGCCCCAAGGGTGATACAAGAGAAGCCGTGTCAGGAGCCGCGCCTCATAATGCTTACCAACCCCCCACACCTCCACCCCATTCTTTCCGATAGCCGATATATTAGCAGCTACCACCAACGAACAGCACCCCCTCCGCCTTACTCCCATTAGCAGGTATTTTAAAATTAGTGTCAATAACGCTCGAAAATGTTTTAACCACGCGCGAGATACTTGAATAATTAATATTAAGTTGGTAATAAAAATCAATGAAAAAATATTTTAAAAATTTATATAAATCCGTCGATGCGTTACGATGCATATTTTACGCGGAACGAGTCACCCTAGTTATTATTTAATTACCGAGCGGCCAACTGTACCTGCAGTACTTTTAATTAGGCAACCAATTAGTGTTATTATCGGCCGTACAGCAGTGGCGCTGTGGATCGTTAGAATCTGCAAAATAATTAACATCACGAGGCGTCATGGGTGTCCGCGAATGTATTGAAAATATATTAAAACATTTTTCGTAACGTTAATTTATTGTATTAAAAATAATACAATCGCGATTCAATGTGTGGGGCGTGATTAAGAAAATTAATTAGCCAGAGATAATTAATGTTTGGTCTATGCCTTGTATGCTGTACAAGATTTTTTAATATCTTTCTCCCGTCTGTCCGGATACTAAGGAGCGGTGAATTTTCCAAAATATTTTTTTTACTAAAAAATTTGACCTCGATTCGCATTTTGCACGAATGCGTCAGAACATCGCGAATTGCTCTGATATGTGTATAGGTTTTTTTTTTCCTTTTCACGGAAATGCACTTTGATGCATTTCTATCGTGCATGTACTGTACAATATATTTTGCATATATGTATTATGACGTGATTTTTCGAATCACGGTCCCAAGGCGGCTCCGGTTACCGATACAGATAACGTTCTCGATTTCTGGTTCCCTTCGGGTCGCCACCCTGCTCAAGAGCTGCGCTCTCGGGTTGATTAGTATAGTTATGTCAAGGCTCTCGTAAGATTTCGTTATTGTTTAGTTGAGGTCGAGGTGCTCGAATCTGCCGTGGGGAGAGAGTCTCGACGTACCGAGTTGCCCGGCAGAGGAGACGACCCGACGGAGACGTCTCCACGGACCGGCGGAAGCCCGGGTGAGATACCGGCGCTCCGCTGGAGATGGGCAAAGGGCTGAAGAGCGGGCGGAGGTAGTTTTGATACGGTTAAGGGCAGGAGAGGAACCTCCTGCCCGAGTTTAGGATGTGGTGCCCAGCTGTCGCCCGATGCCCTGGGGAAGCGGCCGTGGAGGATCTGCAGGAGTTACGTACCGATTCGCTAAGGAACGCTCTCGATTTGGTTTAAAGGGACTACTCGAAGGAGATGGAAGAATTACCGGTTATAAGGCTCTCGACCAATCAGAATGATTAGTTCTCGGATTTGGCATTTGGCTATTGCAGTTTGACTATTGTCAAAGCAGTCTGTCTCGGAGCACCGACCGAGGTGTCACGAGGGACATCGCGCTTCCGTGCTATTTGTTGATAGTTTTTCTAGCCGCGTTTCGCTACGGTATAGCAAGTTCTCGATTCGTACAGTTCTCGCGAGGTCACGAAAAAGAATTACGTTACAGTATATATTTAGAGATAAATCGTTTTCCTGTAACATACAAAGTATACAGTACATAGCAGAAAAGTACATGTGTACATAGATATTTATGGCCCACTGTTGTGGCTGCCGAGAAAATATTAATTTTTTTGTTTCTATCGACACTGGTGTGAATGAGAGCGTAAACGTTGAAGGTATGTAATATTTTGAAAGGTATTGTATTATACTCCATTCTACATACGTCATTCATATTTCAGATAAACGTGCATTCTATTGCGAAAACTGAAACACGTGTTTCCAAACACGTGAAATATTAGACACATAAAACCCACGTAAATACCAGTCACAGAACTGGCTAAAAATAAAAGTCGAGTAAAGAAAATATTGTTTCTGCCCGAAAAAAAAAAAATTAACTCGACACCTCAATCCCCTCAAATTAAAATGACCAAGATCCTACGCAAACAGGTAAGAAAAATTGA